ATAAAATTGCATAAATATCCCGCATATTCTTTCCATCGCATTTTTAATCAAGAATTTTTGCCCGCAACAATCACAAAAAAACTCTGCGTTTTTCTGGAAGGACTGAATACTATTATGGTAAATGTTATATATAAATCGCACATTTTTTCACAAATTTTTGGAAATTACCACCACAAAATCAGTCATTTTGATCGCAAAAATCACAAAAAAAAAATCGTGAAATCCTGGAGGGACTGTATAATGCTAGTAATGGGGGCATTGACTACGTAAAAAGAAATCGCTAGTTTATACCACTAACAAGGCTCAAAATAGCCCCACACTAACGCAGTAACATAATGAGGCTCCATACATGTAAAACGAAGCATTGAGAACTGTGTAAGTGTACAGACCGTTTAATAAGAAGATACTTTATGAAGACAGTTCACTTCGCGTTCACAGACAGGAGCCATCTTAAAAAATAGTCTCGATAAGTCAAACCACGAACGCCGTGCTGAGTGATCTGAACTGTATGAAGTTCAACGAACTTCTGAACTGTATGAACGGCGCTCGGGGATCGATTTATCGAGACTATTTTTTAAGATGGCTCCTGTCTGTATACACGAAGTGAACTGTCTTCATAAAGTATCTTCTTATTAAACGGTCTGTACACTTACACAGTTCTCAATGCTTCGTTTTACATGTATGGAGCCTCATTATGTTACTGCGTTAGTGTGGGGCTATTTTGAGCCTTGTTAGTGGTATAAACTAGCGATTTCTCTTTACTTACTCAATGCCCCCATTACTAGCATTATACGCTAAACAGTTTTTAGAGATAAAACTCTTTACATTCGATTATCATGAAAACAAATCTCAGAGAACGATTGACTAGGTACCGATGTTTTATTAGACCAAAGGTTCATTGTTCGCCGGAGTTCTCCTTTAAGTAAGAGAACAGGAAGAATTTTCCTTAGAAGTGAGCACTAGAATGTCCTGCTTTGATATCTATGTTCTATTCACTAAGGCACAAATTCATGAGCTGCACATTTAGGTCAGTAGCAATCCTCTGAGAAGCTGCCTTAAAAGTGCTGTAAAAAAAAAGGATGGTCAAAGAGAAAACAAGGGAGCAGGGTAGTGTCTCTCCTCATCTGTTATGTTATAGATGGAAGTAAAATCAGAATCACTAACTGATCAGACCCTTTCAGATAAAGAGAACTGCTGAAGAAGAGCATGCAGGGGAGTTCTGGTCTGAACATCCAATAAAAAGCAAGAGAGAACAGGGAAAAAATCTAATGAATGAATGCAAGTGAACCAATAAGTATGGGATAGATGAATGCATGGATTAGAAAGATGGAGGTTTGGGTGGTTATCTCATCCTGTCTTTTGGCTACCACATGGGCAGATGTTTTGGATGAAAGAAAGTGGAGACAAGGTTATGCTGGAGATCTGGTCTAGTCGTTATTATTCATTAACATCATTGATCTTAGACATGGATTGATTGATAGATTGAAGGGAAAATGTCCAGACAGCTAGTCATTATTGCAAAATAAAGATCAACAGGGTGACCTGGACATTGCACAAATATGTTTGTCCTAAGAATGTTGTAATTGACCAATCGAAATCAAGAAAGTGAGCCACGTAATAGGCAGAAAAAATGTATTACCCAATATTGGAGATTCCAAATAATGCAATGTAATGTAAATGTGATTAACACAAATGTAATGCATATACAAAATGAAGTGTTTTCAAAAGCAATTTTATCCAATGAAAGAAACCTTGAGCAGATGGGTTGTTTGAGTAAAGCTGTCTCAGCTGTGATCGATAGGTCGATTGATCACGTTTAGGGGATGTGAGTGGGTCAGCAGCTGATATGCTTGTCAACATAATCAATACTGAGACTGAAAAGTCCTGGTAAAAATTAGACAACAGAGAGTACGTGTTCATGCCCTATAATAAAAACGATTATTTTGCTGTTTGTTCAAATTACTTAAATCAAAATGAGCTAAAGCAACACGATTGCAATACATTTAGTCCTAGTCCTACCTTAATTTCATTGAGTTCAAATTGAAGTTCACTTAATCCATTTGTGATGGGATTACATCAATAATTTTTGTTGCATTAACTGAAACTGGGTGACGGATTGTTAGTGCCCAGCATGCTTTGAATATGGACGGATCAGGAAAGTAAATGTTGAAATAAGTGTTATTTTGTGTGTTTTTGAGTGAAAGAAAATACTTGCTTAATGTTCAGTTATGTTTGACATTTAAAAGAGTTTCTAATATATTGAAGATTTTGTGGTTACTATTGTACTGAAGAGTAAGCTTATGGTTAGGTTGTGGACGGCTGCATGTTCAAGGCTATGATTCATCAAGCTACATTTAATGTGCGATAGTTTTGCTGATGCCAGTGGAGTAACAAGTATATTCCCATTTGTGCCATGCGAGCTGCAGACAGTATTTTAGTATTACAACAAAACTCAACATTAAATACCTCACAGGCTTAAATATTGGAACCTTCACATTATGTTTGAATTGATAAAAAAAAAAAACATCAACAAGTTCAAATAAAAATTTAGGCTATGATTTTTAAGATGAAGATAAAATAAAAAATGTCTTCAGTGTACAAGACAAAAACTAATATAAGCCAGAACATTGTGCTAAATGTTGCAAGTGTAGTTATCTTGACATTGGCTTGTTTGTTATCTATATTAAATATATTTGAACCATCACCTATTGAATTACTGCAAACAATTTATCAATGACATTAAATTCTCACAATGCAGCAATTCATTAGTAAAGAGAACAGTAAAAGTGACTACACAAAGAATAAACCCGTCACATAGCCGACAACTATCTGAAGAATGTAAAATGCACAGCAATCTCTTCAGACTGAAAGAGATGCCATTCACGTCAATGCCAACTTCCTAATCAAACATAAACTCCAACCCAAACACATGCACTATTCTTATCTTCTGTGAGAACGACAACAAAAAAAGCATCGCCTAAAATCCTCAACACAGCCATTCCTAGCAAACACGGACATTCAGTTGAATTATGACAACAACTGAATTTCATGTAACCATTTTCCAAGTAAATCCATCAGAAGGCATGACACAGCAGGCTTGAGTCATGACGGCTTGTTCGTGAGAAGGTGTGGTAGCACTGGCAACATAAGCAGGAAAATATTTAAATGCACCTTCACTTCCCTTTTCTGGCATGTCAACTCAAGACTTCGAATTCTCTTAGGGTATAAAAAAATATTTGCATATGCGATTGAAACAAAATTCAGAACCTGTAATACTACAGCTCAGTTCCAAAACTTAAGAGGGATGTCATGCTTGGTTATACCTCAACGTTCACGTGATGTCACTGTTGTGGACTTCGGAACAAGTTTCAAAGGTGATGTCAAATGCGGTTTCTATTGTATTTGTCCAAGTAGAAAGTTGGAAGCAGAAAGCTATTTAATGCAACTGCTATACAACACAGCTTTGCCATTGGCTGATTCAGCTGTGGACCAGTGCATTAGGAAGAACAAGCATCAGGTTTCCTCTATTCAAACAAAACAACTCACAAATTGTTTACTATGGTCGGCAATTTTCTTTGTAGACTAGTTAGAACAAGGAAAATGGAGTATATCACCTAAACAACACTAAGCATACAAGTCTAAAATGAAGTTTATGCACACTGGGAGATAAAAGGAAGGGTGAAGACGGGGAAAAAAAAAGTAATGGAAGCATACTTGCCACCCAAGGCTACATTGATTAAATTCATTAAATAAACTGAAACAAACAACTTAAGACACGTTGTACCATTCAGCATTTAGAAACACAAGACCAAGGTAAAATTCTTGGACTATCAGCAAGATAAACAGAGTCAGGGCTAAATCACAAGAACGAGGAGCACAAACACACAGCGTAAATACTATAGAAACCAACAGGTCACCTTAACAAGGAGTGGAGCCATGTAACCCAATCCTGGCCATTATGAGACAGTCATGCCTTCCTCCAATTGTTTGAGCACAGAACAATACCATGATGACTTTCTTTTGGTTCTGTGTCAATAAAGGTTGAACATTTGTTGCCTAGGGTGAGAGGATTGTACACCGCTGATTTCAGGACCCCAAAGATGAGACCTCACAAAATTCAAATAAACAAACTACACATTTCAAAGAGATATAAAGTGTATATATATATAATACACTAGAAACAGTTTTGACTGTGAAACGGTGATTTTCAAAGGGAAAACATGATTCCTTTAATCTCGCTCAAGAAAAGTTATCCAACACATGAGGTTGAAATGATAAAAGTGAAAGTGAAACGACTTTGATAAAAAATTTTAGCTTATGGTATTTCATCAAAATTGTAAAAACACCAAAACAAACTCCTGTCTGTCATTGGTCACTCAAACAGATAGTCCCACCCTCCCCGCTCATGTCATTGGCTGAGTCAGCTTCCAACAAACACATCAATGTTTTGCTATCACTACAGTGTTTACACTTCTCACGGGAGTCGGTCTACGAATGGCTCACTTCTAGCCGTCTCTGCGCTTGAAACTGGGATAGGAAAAAGTGTTTTAACACTAATAGTACCACATGCATCATCTTTCATATCTTAGCTTAGTCTCAAAGCTTATGATTGGTAAATAGCGTTTGACATACTGCTCAAAACGGGTACCAAACACATAAGCAATATGCACTGTCAAATACCAGAGGGTTGGTGAGGATTTATTTCTCCGTTTTATGCACATCACCAGGAGTACTATCATTCAGGATGCTATAAAACACATGTCTTCTCACTTTGGTGGCAAGGCAAACAGCACACATTTGCCTTAAAAAAGGAGAAGACATTTGGACGAATCGTGAGGTGTTCCGAGTCAATGCTTCATGTTTCTGATGAATAACCTTTCCTGTGAAGTACGACTTGCCTGCTTTCCTCATTACGATCACTGGAGAGGCAGCCTGTTTGTGGGGTGAGACAAGAGAGAGAGAGAGAGAGAGACACAGAGAAGGTAAAGATCTCATCTTACCTCGTGTTCCAGTTGCAATGTCAGCCACTTTCTGGAAAGCGTCCAGGAATGAGCTAGTGACGATGATTGTTGTCCTGAATGACAGAAAAAAGAATGAGTTTGTTAGTAGGAAAAATCCACGAGCAAAGTGGCTTTGACTGGGTTCTTGGTAACAGTCGCTATATCATGAGAAATATTTCCACTGACAGTTTTTTGGAGCTTGCACCAGGAGAGATGCAGAAGCCAACATTAACAGCACTGCAGACCGCAATACTCTGGATGAATGACGTTTAAATACCTGAGGATGCTGATAACTAAAGTGCAACACACTTCAAAACAATCTGCATACTTTTTCTGCACTAATGGTGAGAGAAAACTGTGGGAGTTTGCAAAAAGGGTTTAGATAAATATGTCAAAAAGCTTCAATGAGAGTAATTGAAAGTACAAAATTCATACACTCATACAAAAAAAAAGGTTCTTCAGCGGTTCTTCAGGGGTTCTTTGCGGTGGTCATGGTGCTATATAGCACCACTACCATTTAAATAACCCGTTAAGCCCAGTTTGGTTCTTCAGCGGTTCTTCAGTGGTTCTCTGGGGTGGTTAAGGTGCTCTATTGCACCTCTTATGGTTCTACATAGCACCATTTGATAAAGATAAGTGGTTACCCTATGATTACAAGCCAATGAACCACTTTTAGTGCTATATAGCACCATTTTTGTTTAGAGTGTACTATTAGCTGAAAGCATTATCAAACTATCATCAAAAACAAAAGCAGTTCTAACACAAATCAGTCTACACAAGAAGTGTTGAAGCTATACGTCCAATTAGGGGTGTAACGATACCCTCATGTCAAGATTCGATACATATCACGATACTGAACTCACGATGCGATATTATTGCGATATTTCAAGACATACGGTAAAAGGTTAACAAAAAATGTACTGTTGATTTGATTTTATATTGTGGGTTTAAATGAATAGGCTTGGACTTGGTGCTTACAACCCAAGGAAAATAACAATTTTCATGATTCTGAAGCTGAAAATACAGAATTATTTTAGATGAATATGCTTGCACTCTTTCATTAGGCTAGATATATTTAAAATAATTTAGACACTTTTAACTGGGAACATCAGATATTTGGCATTATCAGGGCCCACAAATATTCCCCCATTGCATTATAATACATTATAATCAACATTATATATAGTAGTTTAATGTAGTATTGACACTAAAACTCTGAAAACTTAATTTTTTTTTTCTCACACAGTCATTTTTATGTTGAGGGGACTATCCACGATACATAGTCACTATCCACGATACGTATTGTTGCATTTTTGTATTGCGATATATTGTGGCACGATATATTGTTACACCCCTACGTCCAATCAACACAGACCAATCAGCTACAAACTTAAAAGTATGTAAATAAAATAAATGTGTTTAACTAAATTTTGTGACGCCAGCGCCAGAACTGTAACTGATAGAAGGTGCACTGTAGTATGATACTACAACCTTTCTTCAAGAACAGATCGTGGAGACATTTTTATTAGGGCTGGGACAACGCTTCGACCACATCGATTACGACGCAAAAAATGCGCATCGACCAAAAACAAAGTTTTTTATTTTTTAACACATCTGCAAACGGCAAACGGCTTCTTCGCACAAAAGGAAGAAATGTCACGAAGCGCAGTGAAATGCAGCGACCTATGTGGCGTTTCCGGATGGATCGAGGTTGTTCATTTTATACGTGCAATTCACACGAACTCTAAGCGCAAGCATGCTGTTTACAGTTATTAATGTTGTGGAAAATACATTGATGACACTGACAACACGCTGACAGACAGGACCAAGAAGGTAACATTTAATAAAGCCTCAACTTTCAAATTTGATCAGCCAAAGAAAATGAAACCATAAATAGGCCTACTATTTTGTGGTTATTTAATGTGTCGTGACAGATAGCACTTTATTTCAGTAAGCTAGGCCTATGTGTTTTCAAGGCTTCAAGGTTTTATTGCTATTTGCACTTGCATGGTCTTTTATTTTGGAATTTTAAGAGCAATAAACATATATTGCAATATTAACGAGTTCATGTTTTTTTCATTCAGCTATTTCATTGCTATTAGTCAATTAATGGGGAGGTAATCGAATCAAATTCGAATAGGGCAGGGAAAATTAATCATTAGATGCATCGGAAAAATAATCAATAGATCGTTTATCCATCCCAGCCCTAATTTGTATTCATTATTCACGATCTAAAATTGTGATATTGCACACCCTTTCCTGTGGCCATAAAACAAAGTGGTCTTTATTTCTCAATCCTACTTGATTTGACATTAGACAAATTCCCTTCTGTATGCAAGCTCACAAATACTTAATCGTTTGATTACACAGTGAAAAACATCTATAGCTTTCTCCCTGGTCAGAAGATGGAAAACGGTCGGAGCCACAAAAGTGTTCAGCGTGTTCATCGGAGGGGACACGGGCACATACTGACAGGGTCAATGGTGCCATTGTAGGATCCATTCAGAGCCTTCATTCTGAAGAGAGAGATCTCAGCTTATCAGAGAAAGCTCAGTGGTATCAGGTGATACGAACTACAAAGTACAGCCTTTCAGCAATTCCCCCACCTCCCCCACAGCGGCCCCCCAAGTCCTGCACGCTTTTGTGCCTGATAGGTGGACTCGCATCTCTTTAATTCTGGTTCTAGGAATAGAAGTTGGGTTAATGGTATGGATGCCCAATATGTTACCATTTGAAGAGCATTATTAGACTAATAGTACTGAATCTATATCCTGGTTGGATTAACTATGTGCAAAGTTGTTAACAGACACATGTTGAACATTGAACATCAGCTATGCTAATTATTTCCCATCTGCCTTTCTGCTGTTATCTCGGGACGCTTGTCCCGAGAAAAATGGCGTTCGTCAGGTCCAGTTTTGTATCCAGCCTCTCACGGGGATTTCGGATGCCCCAACGCCTGTGATGAGACGACTCAACGCCTGCGATATGTTATGGCGCCATTTTATACATAAACAATATTTATATTTAATATTTATATATAAACAATATGAATGTAAGCCAGAGGAGAACTGGCCCCCGACTGAGCCTGGGTTCTCCCAAGGTTTTTTCTCCATCCAATCTGATGGAGTTTTGGTTCCTTGCCACTGTCGCCTTGCTTTTGGCTTGCTTTGAGCTTGCTCAGTTGAGGTTATTTAGTGTTTAGCAATGTTGTTGATCTGTGTTGTACTACTTTCATGTTATCACTGTGAAGTTGCTTTGATAAAATCTGTATTGTGAAAAGCGCTATATAAATAAATGTGACTTGACATGTCAAAGTTGCTGGATGACTAGTCTTCTACTCACTACTTTTTTCTTTGATTATTTTGAATTTCTTTGATGAAATGACTAATAAAAATGCTGCAATGGTAAACTTTTACAGTACCTTTAAATATTATTATATTGAATTATATACACTTTTTCTTGAATAACAATTAACTTATAAATACGCCAAACTTTCTTCAAGAATTGTATGCCTTTAAATGAGACTAATAAATAATCTACAGATGGTACACAACAATAAACCAAAACCGGTTTATCTTAGAATAGGTGCATCTCAGTCACCGTCTGAATTAATTCATTTTTATCTAAAAAACATGCCAAATTTTGAAATGTTTTTCAATGGCACTTTAAAAGCCGCTCAGCACAACTACACCGAACAGGCAGCAGTTGGTTTGGATTAAGATTTAAAGCAGCCATTACTAAACCAGATTGTCTAGTATCTATATTTGCATATATGGAGATGTTGTTCAACTACTGATATACTGCAATGGGTAAATATTACCCAACACTCTGTTTACAAAAACACTAACAATGCCCAAAGTCATGAGAAACTTTAAAAAACAGTCCCTGATCAGCTCTTGGCAGTCCAGACGGAGGAGCTGGCAATGGTAATGGTGTGTGTGAGTGGAGCGTGTTTGATGTTTATCTGTAGGAATGGAGTGGACCTTTGGGAGGGTCATTACCCTGTTTACTCTCCAGGGAGAGAACAGAGAGGTCAAGCAGAGGGGACGTGCTGGAAAACTGGAACCAGGGCTAAACTAAAAGATAATTTCGACTCTTTTTCACATTTGTCAGGATAGATGCTAAATTTAATCTGCCGCAAATCTACAAGGAATAATGCAGTCTGTTCAGTGGGTACATTGGTGTCGATCATTAAGTCAACAAAACTTTGGACGAAAAATGGATTGTGAAAATTAGACATGACTTAGGACCAGTTAGAAGCAGTGAGTGATTTCTTTGTCTTTTGTTGTTGGATTAAAATGAATAGCTGAAGGTTTATTAGGCTGCTGTCACTTTAAGAGTGAATACACTGATCTAATATACTGAAACACATGCACTTTCTTTCTCAACTGTTTACGTTCATCAAAGATATAAATGTCTTTTTATGAGGATGGGCATTTTGACCGTCTTTGTGTGTATTTGACCGTTCAGTACTCACGCGCTGCATGAGAATCAGCTTCATGTGTGTGCATCTCTCAGAAACAATTTTGAGTTGAAATGAGTATTGCACGCCAAGGGTTTAAAATCACTTGTTTCTATACGGCAATACCTAAAAACGCATGTAAGCGATAAACTTTCATGATGCGCAGTATGGAAATATCACGTGACGCATAACCGCGACAGAGAAGACAGTCTAAAATCTCTACTGGTTGACAAATTTCTACAAGGTAAATCGTGTCTAGCGGTATATTGCCCACCTGTAATCGCTGCCCTTACTTTTTTACTCTTCCAAACATTAGGCTCCATTCTATTATGCAACACCCACTTTTCTAGATAAAATCAATTCACGACAGATTAAATTAAATCCTGTTGTATTTTCACTTAGAAACACATCACATTATGGAAGCAAAAAAGGTTGCAAATGGCAATTCCAAATGATTTTAAGACAGTACAATCAATTGAATGAACTATACATCCTCATTTTCATGCAGCACCTTTTCTAACTGTCTGCATTTAAATTTCTCTACTCTACTTCTAAATAATCTCTTTATTCCTTTAAGTAAACTAAAGTCCCATTCTTTATTTAACACTGCCTCTTCGGAACCTTTAAAATACATTTTTCTCAAACGTTTTTTATTACACTGGGTGACAAATCCTTCCTGAATGGTGTAATAATCAAGAACATTTCCTGCTTTCGAAACAAGATGATCATAATTATTCCGCATTCAAGGAAGTGTGTAATGCAGGAGGCCTGTTCTTACCTTAACTGAGATTGCAGCTTAGCGCCTTTGGTGACAAAGTCCTCCCAAGCAGGATAACTCGCCTACAGAACAAATAGTGAGAGAGAGAGGTCAGTGAGGGCGAACCAGAGTAAATCATTACACTGTTCCGACAGCTCTGATCTGGTGTCCATCATCAATATTTAAAAGACAATCTATTATTACTGACTACATTCATATAAACTTATAAAGTATTTCAGATGTGGATAGGCCCTAAAGTTTAATATTAAAAGAATCCCTAAAAAAAGGACATGAGGATGAAAACTTTCAGAGATCACATGATAGGAAGCTGTCGTTTGTGTACACCGTGTTTACACCAAAAACAACCTAGGCAACACAAGTTTTCACAAAGTGTCTGTTATATATATACATATATATTCTTTTCTGACTATCTGGTTGTGCCACAAACACAACAAAGAATTTAATTAATAGATTAATTACATAACTACAAATTAAAAGAGGTTCAGAATGTATTGCTCAACTGAATGCCATTTAAACCAGGTACAACATTTCCAAACTTTTAATCGTGTAGTCTTACATCACTCAATTTGTCATTTCAATTCACAGCATCACGGACTACTAGCATAAATCAGAATATCTTATGGTTTCATCTGGTTTCCTCAGTAGTCTCTGTCTCAGTGATCAAAGTCTTCTTTGCCATAATGTTTATTAAAAAATTTAAACCAAATCAAGCTAATTCTGTTTGCAATAACGTAACATATCAGTAACAGCTGATCCTGATTACGGAAATCTCAAAAAATGCTGACTGCTCCATTTCCACAAACAGCATAAAAATACTTTATAAAAAAAAAAAAAAATACACCAATAAATTGCATTGGTGAAACGTTATCTGCAACATGACGTTTCAATTTACTTGAAATAAATCCAATGGTGAAGCAAGTGACAAAGACAGGGTTCAAAAATGTGAACAATCTCCATTACAGCAGATGTTGCTACATGTTGGCCCGCTTTGTTTGAGCCCAAAATACACTGCTCTGATTAAATATACATTTCATAACTTCACAGTTGTTACATTTTGCCTCCTTAAATACCTTTAAAACCTTTTTTTAGCTTCTCCAACACTGCGAATAAAAGTATTTTAATGCAGTGACACAATATAAACAAATCTGCATAATTACGCAGTTGTTCCCTCTACAGATGAAACAAAGCAGCTCTTCCAGCTAATCACTAAAAATAAACATACCTGGAAATGCTTTATAAGAAAATATAATTGCCCTGATGAGGTTTACAGTCTTCTGTCTTGTGGGAGTCAACAAAATCTCTCAACATTTAAAGCATGTGATCAGTGTACAGCTTCTTCCATAATTGAACTCAAATGTGAGGTCATGTGATGATACAAGACCAAAACCTAGTAGTTTAGTTGTATATTTATATATACACTGTAGCATGTACAGTACCGTTTGTAAATGCTCCAGCTAATGCAACTTTTCTTTTACTGTATACAGTATACATGCATATGCAATGCATATCATCATTATATAAAGAAGAAGAAACATGTATGTGCTGTATGTAAAATGTAATTTCAACATGTTTATAAGACCACCCAGAAATTGTGGTTTTCGAATACATGTGGTTTGAGTTGTTTCTACTTTTTTTGGACATTTAGAATAAAATTTAGAACAAAAGTTATTGATGAATCATGATTTGTTTGTGAAAACGTTCATATACTGTTTCTGTATTTTTGATCAAATACATTTGTTAAGCATAAGAGACTTCTTTAAAAAACAAAAAAATATATATATATGTTTATATCTAAACATTATCTTGCCCATCACCAGCAAATTACTTTTAGTGAATAATATAAATAAGTATAAGTATTTTATATAGCAGAATAATTACAGAATGTATAGTTATCACAAAGTATGCATCTCATAGGAAACTGGTGACCATTTTTTGTACACATGCCTTCAGGGCTTTCCTGAGTCTGTCAGAAACTTAAAAGGACGATCCACCCATAATAACCCTCCTACCAAATCTGTCCTGTGAACCATTTCCTTTTCAAACTCTCAGTTCTTTCCCCCTCGTCTCTCAGGAGAGGAGGACCTGTCCTGTGAAGCAGCCCCCCAGAGTTTTGCTTTCAACCGCATGAAAGAAATATATGATCATTTCCTGTCTTCGATCCTTCTCATCTTTGCCTGTTGCTGTGGTAAAGAGGAGGTGACACAGAAAGAGGAGGACGAGAAGAGGGCAGAAAACCTGTTGGTCCACTGTATCAAGTGACAAAACAGACACACGTATATAACACAGCAGGCAGAGGTTGCAATGAGGATCAGTCGCTGAATTTCAAATATAAAAACGGCATCCTTGTAGATGGTTTCGTTGATTAATAATAAATGTTTTTAATAACATCCCCCCTCTTTAACAAGGACTCAAGGGAGACACGGCATCATGCTGTAAACCAACAACACCCCAATGATCCACATACTGAGCTACAAAAGGCTATTCCTTTCAAAAACATCAGCTATTCCTTTTCTTTTTTTAATGAAAATCCAGGATTGTACACAATAAAAAATAAGTGCTGAGAGTGACGAGTGGTGACTGACAAGATTGTAGAAGAATTGTTTTGAAGCGCCTATTTGGTAATATTTTGGATTAAAATTTAAAACCCAATGCTAATTGCGAACCTGCAAACACAATCGTAAAGAATGGGCTATATGCACGCATAAGTTTAGGGCTGCAACTAACGATTATTTTGATAATCGATTAATCGGACGATTATTTTTTCGATTAATCGATTAATCGGATAAAAAAATTATATTCCATTTTTTTGTTTATTATAACAAAATAAAACCCTAAAAACCACACTCTTTTGTGTGTTAAACAATCTACTTAATACAGACAACTTCATTATAAAGAAAAACAACAAATAAAAAAAATATATATGACCATAACCTATGACAAAAATGCTATTGTAAACTAGATTAGTGGATAACTCAGCAAAACTTATCCAAGAAATATCCCAAGTGCACAATAATTTTATAAAATCTGAACATTTAGTGAAAAAAACATTCCTTAGTGGGGAACAAATAAGAGACAATAAGTGTAGCACTAACTCTGGTAAAACGTACACATTGCTCTTTGTATTGTTGTTATGAAAAACATCGGAAAAATCAGATGCACAACTGTTTTAAATGTAAAGCACAGCTGTTTAGTGAGGAAGCAAAATATAATAGATAGGACAGAACAAGAAAGGCTATTAATAAGCTTTCATTGCGCAAAAGTATTATGACATGATCATGAAAGAGCTGCACAAAGTGCTTATGCGCATCGCGAGCGCTGAATGATGCGCTTGGAGCAACACGGAGTCACAGGGCGGCGCGCAGCTCTTCAGTGTCCGCCGCATTAAAGTTAAAAGCACCAAGGAAAGAGAAAGACATATTGACTGTGTATTATACAGTATCTATGCAATAGTTTATTAAGCCTTTTCTTTTAACAGTTTTAAATTTCAGTTAGGCTACGCACGTGAAGAACAATTATACTGCGCCGACTCTAATAGTGTTGTGATCTAACAGACACTCAGTAGAAAGTGATTAAGTTACAGCAATAAAAGTCTAGCAAGATAGAAAAACCATCATAGACCTTTATCTACGGATCAATTATAATAATAACATTGAATCATTGGAAAGAGATCATCATGTTAACTGTTGTAACGCGACGCGCTGTTTGAACACCGAATAGAAAATGACTGACAGCCGCAGTGGAGGGAAAAGCTTAGGTTAACTTGAATTTAGTGACTTAAATTTACATTTCTATCTCACATTATACTATAGTATGGCTTCATAGAGTATACACGATTAACGTAGGTCACCTATTTTGGTTTCAAAACGGCGAATTTACCGAAAGGTGAATGATTTTCGTGTATGCTGAATATTGATAGCGGTTTCCTGATGCCCGCAAATTAGTTCAAACTCACGGAATCAAGAGCGCGCATGCGAGACAGAAGATAATGTGCTCCAAACCGTCCGTGTTGCGCGCGCGAGACAGGGTAGAGCGGCGAGGGAGAGAGACTGCATGTGCGCCTCATGAAGCGCATGTAAGAAGCGCATGTTCCATGTAAACAATCCCCGTGACGTAATCAGACCAACTAATCGATAATGACATTCGTTGACAACGATTTTCATAATCGATTATAATCGATTTTATCGATTAGTTGTTGCAGCCCTACATAAGTTCCGCATTTGACGCAAGGATGCTCGTTAGTTTCCGGTTGGGGAGATTAAAGCGGAGGAAAACGGGATTATGGCAGAGTCTTCAAAATGTACTGTCCTCCCGTCTTTGAAACAAAACTTTCATATGTTTAGATGTAATTTTATAATAGTTATGTTTATTTAATATATTTTTTAAAATAAGCATAAACCCAACGAGGGGTGTCTGTTTTAGTGACTAACTTTTCTTTAGAATAACCATGGAGATTTATATAAAATTAAATATAAATTCTCAGTATTGCATTGGACTCTACGATCGGCGAAAGTTATTCAGCATCCTTAAAGGGTTAGTTCACCCAAAAATGAAAATTAAGTCATTAATTACTCACCCCCATGCTGTACCAACCCCGTAAGACCTTCGTTCGTCTTCGGAACACAAATGAAGATATTTTTGATTAAATTTGAGAGCTGTATAACTACCACATTGGCTGCCTAAGGGACTGCCTCTTGACGGCCCAGAAAGTCAATGAAGAAAATGTTTAAATATCCCAAGTGACTACCGTGGCTCAACTATATGTTTATCAAGCGACGCGAATACTTTTTGTGCGAAAAAACAAACAAAAATAACGAGTTTATTCGACTATTTCTTTTCTTCCTTGTAGGCCAGAAACGAGATTTCCTTAGATTTCCACGACGCATGCGCGAGAACTGAACTGAAGTAGTGTAAGCAGATCGCAATTCTCGCGCATGCGTCGTGGAAATCTAAGGAAATCTCGTTTCTGGCCTACAAGGAAGAAAAGAAATAGTCGAATAAACTTGTTATTTTTGTTTGTTTTTTCACACAAAAAGTATTCACGTCGCTTGATAAACATATAGTTGAGCCACGGTAGTCACTTGGGATATTTAAACATTTTCTTCATTGACTTTCTGGGCCGTCAAGAGGCAGTCCCTTAGGCAGCCAATGTGGTAGTTATACAGCTTTTAAATTTAATCAAAAATATCTTCATTTGTGTTCCGAAGACGAACGAAGGTCTTACGGGGTTGGTACAGCATGGGGGTGAGTAATTAATGACTTAATTTTCATTTTTGGGTGAACTAACCCTTTAAACCTTCACTGGAAATACCGCCGTAGAGCCCATTATAAAAAACCAACCACTCAACCAATTGCCACCATAAGCGAGGTGGAAAAGTGGGAAAACTCCAATGTCACCAACCAGTCATCACAAAGGAGCTTCAACACTGTGTAAAAAAACTGTATTTTGAGCTATTTGAGCTGCCCTAGTTTCCTGTAGTTCAAGAAATGATGGGTAATGTAGTCTTTCAGTGAGCGCCAGCTCTCGCCTCAGAAATGTGAAGTTAGTTCTGAGAAAAGTTGAGAAGAGATGAGATTTTCTTATCTAAACAATGACTTTCAGGCATTTTAAGTATTCCTTAAGTGTCACTTTCAAATACTCAGACTGGCCACCAAACTCTTTAACATCGTAATCAGCCGCTGAAAAACCCAAATGGGTCAACCACTACTGAACATCATAAAGCACTCCAAACTGAGTCATAAAGTCTCTCATTAGCACAAGCTTTGCATGTCAGTAATAAGCACCTGTGCGTGCATATGAGGGTGTGCCTGCTTTAGCTGGCAGTAAGGGTGTATCCAGTATGTGTGCGTGCGCGCACGTGTACTAGACGTACGAGTGTCTGGCGAGTCTTAAACAGGTTGTGTTTCAGAGGTGATTCACAGGCAGGCCTGTGCACGGTACATTCAATACTTACTCATCATGGGGGGGATTGTGGGATGGTGGAGAGGGGGAAGGGGGACGTCCTGAAGAAGGAATGTGCACAGGCAGGCAGCTCCTCAGCTGTAGACTGGCGTCATCCCAAACGGGGAGGACAGAAATCATTAGTTTCAGCAATACATCTTAAGCTGCCACACAGCCTGGCTGATGTCAACAAGAAGCGTTGAAGCCTTTTAATGATCAGGGTCCTGCAGGACTAAACCCTGAGTGGTTGAGGGGAAGGAATGCAAAATGGCTGCAAAACAGCTTAAAAGCCCGTTCACACCAACGATAACTAAAAGGATAAAAATAGTTTTAAAAAAACAGTTCTAAAAGTAAAAGAATAGCAGAATCCACACCACCACTATGACGATAACGGCACAAAGAAATAATACCATTAGAATCACCTTTAGATTTTTTTTTTCCAGCTGATAAACAAAAACACTGACAGACAGACAATCAGAATCCATCCTGCCTGCCTATCATCATAGTTATATCATCATTACTACAGTTTTTGTTCTTGTTGTGCTCTTCGAGGTGGGCCAAGGGTGGACCCCCTATACCTGCATTACATGACTGATAGACAACAACGGTTTGACCGAAAAATGTCAAAATTGAAAATACTGTGGTGTGGAAACAAAGACACCTACATCCAGCATAATCTGATCCCAGTACAGCACCTTATTAAAACAGTGCAACAGAAGGGGAACACTCTGGGGTTACCTACTGTCCTCCTGTCAACTCGTGAACCCTACAAAGACACATTTCTTCAGCAAGGTCTGTGTATTATGATAGAAACCAATCTTTCACAGTATTTTTGCAGGTGGAGTTGGAATTCTGTTGTGCTATCCTTCTCTCCAAATAAATGGAGGTGTCCAATAATGCCTACAAACACGCTGGTCCAATAAAGATCACACGGCATGGGGCAAAGGAATCTTCCACAGTCAGGCACTGCGTTTCATTATTCAATAAAGTTCATCCATAAATTAAAATGCTGCCTTCATTTAGAGATATTTAGTCATTAGAAGTTGCATAAGCCTAATTATAAAGAACATGAGCCCTTATTATATTTCTATGGAAATTATACAATGGCAATTTCATTACCATGACTAATAGTCATATGGAACGACTCAACGACATAAGAATGTGATGATGACAGAATTATCATTTTTAACTGAACTATCCCTTTAATTACGTTCAGCTGTTGATAGAGCGTAACCTACTTTTCTGGTAAACAAAAAGAGACAACATTTCTTAAGAACAGAAACTCATCCTTCCGAAAGAATAGCTATAGACCAAGCGTTTAACATCTCTGAGAAGCAGAATCACAGACTGGTCTAAATGATGTGAAGGAAACATCAAGTCATATGCATTCCAGAAAACACTCGCTTCAGACCATAAATGTCAAGCTATGAAGCAAAAGAAAGAATCCATCAAGGTCCAAGATGTTAACCAAGCTCACATCACACTACTAAACTACCTATACATTCAAAAAGCATCAATACTTTTTATTATTTCTAAAAGAAAACATACGTGCTTAAGAACAATATCAAATTCACAGAAGAAACAACTTTCACCTTGGCAGCTTGACTTTATTTTTCATCAATGACTCGGTCTCAGACTATAATTTATATTTGCACTTTTGCCTTTTACAGCCTACGCTTAAATTCAGGGCCGTCAATGCAAGTGACATTCAACATAAGCAAGCAGCCGTAAAGCACTTTAAACAAACTACTTTACATGCATTGCTGTTGAACTTTGTTGAAATTTGTCTAAAATAAATGTATGTACTTATACTATATAAATGTAAGCTATGCACTTTGTATTGTTTGATTCAGAGCTTACATTAAGTGCTCGATCGCAATGCATTGCAAACTAACTAAAACTCTCTGCTGCATGAACTTGGACACCCATGTACACAGTTACACACGAAGGTCAGAGATATTTATTGAGTACTAACAGGCCAAAATGTACTAGCCTTAGCCCTGCAGCTGTTTTTCTGTGAATCATATCTTTACATGTACGCAAATCCATGCACACACACTCACACACACACACACACAATCATGGGGATATCCTGCACACTTCCTCCTTCCTGTGAGTCAAGTGTGCCATTTCCACATTACCAGCATGCATACAAATTGATAGCTGGACCTTGCCCAAAAAAAAGAAAAAAAGAAAGAAAAAAAAAAAAACACCTGCTGGTCCATTCATTCATTTCATTTTTGCTACTGTATGCCCAAAGTGAGTGCAAATAAAAACATGGAAATTTACTCAATTACTTACTATTGAACTGATAAGCATCATAGATGCAAAACAACAAACTATATTCCTAATATAACCTGACCCAAAAATGTATTTGAACACGCAGAACTTACTTATGTAATGCCATTGCATTATACATAATACAATTAATTTATCATCATCTATTTTCTCTTATATTTTAATTACCATATTTTGTAATGTTCAAAATACTAAAGGTCCAAATACTTTTTGAGAGCATCCATATACAAAAAACTGTCTAGATATTGATATCACGAATAAAGTCTGAGTCATATTTGAGCCATGTTTACAACAGGATGTGACACACTATGCCTCCTGCTCACATGGGCAGGCACACACCACAACACATTTTCAACTAAGCAAACAATTAGTCATTTATGATGATGAACATTAAAAGTCCAGTGTTTGACAATGTTCCTCAAAAGACTTCATATTGCCTAAAATGGCATCATAACAGTTTATTGAAGCTTCACTAATTAAGAGATCATCAGACCATGCCATAACTTACCACACATGTGCAGAGACTGTTGACTAGATCTTCTGACAGATGACAAACTGACAACTACGCTAAATAATAGCACAATGAATAATATAGTCATATACAAACATATTTAAATATTTAAGCCCTATTTAAATGCCATTTGGGACATAAACCAGTGTTTTTGAAGTTTAAGCACTTTGGTATATGATTTTGCCATGGTTCTGCTATCATTATATCCCTGCAATAGGATATTATGGTAATATCGTATTTTTGGAAATGCAATATTTGTGGATATTGTACCATTGCATCAAACACCACAGTACTGAAATGCATGTACCACGGTATTTACATTGTACTTCAAAGCAAAATATACTAGTACCATAGTAGCCTACATTTTTCTGTTAATTATTATAATTAGAAAAATACCATGGTCCGTGTCTAATTAGCTATGTTAATACCATGGTACTTTCATGTTAGTGTGACAGCATTACCTTTGAAGTCCCTTTGAACATATCCATCATGAAAGCTGGAATAACCTACATTTTGACTGTTTTACAAATAACCTGAATGCATACTAGTCTTTCTAACTAGTAAATGCACTCATATATCCGAGATGATAAGCGTACAGAGATGTAAATGATGAATTGAAGAGGATGCACATCACAGGGCGGCTGGATTCACATCTTTCACCAACCGGCCAACCACAGAACTGTTGCCAACCCTCCAAAACAGCTGGAAAATAACTTATTCTGAGCCTTTTTACAGGCACACTCCAAACCCACACATGATGTTGGGGGGGAATCAAAGCATCTGGTTTGTTATTTTAATCTGAGAAGGACTCACCTTCATGTCGTTCATGATGATTTGGAAGAGCCCTCCCAAAGCGCTGCACTCCTTCTCCATTCCCGCATCCATTTTACCACCCCAAAACACGAGCAGCGTTGACACTTATCCTCCGTATGAAAGCTCGTCTCGAAACCCGCTGTCAGTATCTGAAGGGTTCAGTACGAGGCTGTATTTGAAGGTTGTCGTGTGGACAAGGCAAATGAGGATAAATTAACGCAAAATAGAAAGTGTTATTCCGCTGATTGGCTGCCCGGCGCAAGTAAACTAGTCCCGGCCACGCAACTTACTAAACCTCTGGAAAATACATCACATCGCCACGATAAAAGTGAATAAAAAGCCTAAAACGGGATTTTTTACAACAAGTCTCCAGGTCAAAAAAGGTGCCACGTAAGCACAGGTAAACCCGCAAGGAAAACTGACCGTTGAAGTACCTGGCTCGGCGTTTTCAAAAGCTTGCCTCTGCTGGATCGATAGTCACGTTAGTTTAGATCGCGACAACCGCCGTGTTTTTTATTCCTCATGGTTTCATTCAGTCGATCCAGCCGCTGATATATCCTTAATAGTGATGATTTTGATCGGTTGCAGTTTGAATAAGGCTTTCGGGTGAAATTAATACGGAAAAACCTGACTAAAGTTTCGACTCCTGATAGATTCCACAGAGCGAGTGGTAAACATTATTCACTCCTGGCTGGCTCACTCTCTCTCGCGCTTTCGAGCCCGTTTGTGTGGATCAGCAGGCGGACGAACTCAGAAAGGGGCGGAGCTTGAGCACTTCGGATATCTTCGTGCTTTTTCGACAATGTTACTTTTGTCATCGACAGATTAGTTGACATTTTGATAGAATATTTCATTTAAACATGTCCCCAAGTTCTTATGTAGGCTAAAATACATACTTTTGTATAACCTTACATCATTATTTAGAGACGATATGTGTACAATATGTGTGTATATGAAATATGTGTACATTTACAAAGTTTTGTTTTTGTCACAACACAGGGCAATTTAAGACACAAGAACAGGTACAAGCAAAAATGTGATTAAAACTTGTGAAAGGTCAGGGTAACCAGCTAAATCACCTAAGAATACAATAAAAAAAAAATTCCCCTTATACATAGAGTAAATACAATTCCATCAAAACTTTTGATGATGAATAAAATTGTTTAATTGAATTTATTTGTTTATGTATTTATTTCCATTTTGGTCTTTTAAAACATTTTATTTAAATGGTTTAAAAATATGTATATATTTTATTTACGTTTTTTGAAAGTTTATTTTGAGGAACCTGGTAAATCCTGTTACAAGAAATTTAGTGACTTATGACTGAATGCTGTCCACATTGCTAGACTCAGTCTTCCTAAGCATTTTATTACATGTATTTTAACCAGAATAAACAGATCTACATCCTGTTACATTTATCTACTCACAAGAGAGCTAGTTTTCAAGGATTCATATCACATCTATGAGTCAGCATCATTGTAATCTTGCCAACCCTTGTGCTGTTAGGTTACCTGACATTACGAAAGGAGTCCACCTTTCAGCTCAGCGTCTCATAGCAACACAGACGTGATAAATTTAGCATCCCTTCCTCTAGTGGCCTCCTGTCTGTCTGCCGGAGAGAGGTCACCTTGTTCAGCAGTCTGCAGTGGGCTTCAGGCTTCATGTGCCCACTCATAGCACAAACACAAACTCACGAAGCTCATGGATAGAGCATTTAACTCTGTATTTAGGGCTCATTTTAAGTGTTGCTATGAAAACAAACAGGTCAAAATCACTCACAAAGGATTATTAATGATATGTTTTTTGCAGTTCTCCACGATTAGAAGGAAGGTGTTTTTTTAAAATAATTTATAGAGATTCCTCTCACCATAAGCAATATATAACTGATTAAATATTTTAGAGTTGAGCCAAAGTATAACTTACATTACATTATATTCAGTATTTAAAAGGAGTTTCTAACATGACTGCTCTGGTACTGAAGATGTACTTTATAGCTGTAGAAGGTGCTTACTACCATCTAATGGTGAAACTTTAGTAATGCAGTAGTGTTTGCATAGCAGATGAAATACTAACATATTGTACATTTTTTTTACATAATTTTATATTTTATAATTTCATATTGAAATAATATTGTTTAAAATAAATAAAAATCTATTGACTACATCTATCAGTGTTATTTATGCAACACAGAGAAACCATTTTGTCGTCATGTGACAAGAAAACAGTCAAAGTTTTTAAAATATATTATATTTTGGCTCTGTTTTGGACGGAAAACACATTACAAAAGTTGTAACCCTGAGAAAACGTGTCACTTTATAATGCAAAACTTATTTGTCTTTGACCAATTCTTAAATCTTCACAGTAATAGTAAGGTACTAGCTGTGGAAAAACACATGAAGACACAGTATTGCGTTGTCAAACTCCATTTATTTTGTGCTTTATCTTTTGTTGCGTTTGACTGCATGATTTTGTTTGTATTTTTACCCTTTCCAAAAGGTACAAACATGTTTAATCAGAGCTGCCAGGGATCATAACTTATAGGCAAATAATACAGTAGAATAAGTTTAAGATAAAACAAATGTTGCAATGTTCAGTGTAGAATCGCTTTCTTAAAAAGGAAATAGATATGCATTTTACAAAAAAAAAAAAAAAGTACAGTTACTTTATTGCATCAAAGGGTCCTCAGGGCCATGCATCAATCTTATAGGCAAAGTTACATTTGGCCCATAATAGTTATCATAGTCATAAATAAGCTTATGTGGGATGCACCATTCATTAACATAATGTCATGAAAGATCACTATGCTTGATGCAATGCTGCTGGCTCCAGTCACCGTGTGCAAAGGCCCTCCCGTGGTCAGATTTGTAAGTGCAGCCTGACCTCACTGAGGTTGGACTTTTGGTTAGCAACAGCAGAATGTAATGAAACACTTTTAAGAGCCCTAATACTAGACAGTCAAGTCAGGTTTGCTTCTGGTATAACTAATGGACTCACTTAAAGGTGTATGCTTTACTTGGGAAGACAAACATTTAAAATGATACAATGATCTTTCTGATTTTTTAGGTCCACTAAGATTTCTACATTCATCAAAGAAGACAATACAGGCGTCAGTACCAGCATCGATACAACCGCGGCATTTGCTTGGCAAAGATTCGTTTTCCGTTTTCCTTACATGAAGAAAATGTTAGATTTGAAATTAATTACAAACATTAATTTGGCACAACAGATCACGAGTAGTGTTTTGTAAAAGCAGCCATGCGCGAACGAATCCCTGAAGTCAAAGCACCATGTCTCCGTAGACTAATGTAGATTAATGTTTAGGCCCGGTTAGTTAGCCATTAACTACACAAATCTGTGTCAGTGCATTCGCAGTCTGCATGCAAGCACTTGCAGTAGGATATCAGAGCGTTCTTGAACCGTTCAACGTCTGGTTCATTCGTGTCGGTCGGAGCAAAACCACCGAGCACGTTCTGATAAGTGGGGCATTTCTGAAAGATTATGGAAGCACCCGATAGCTATACATAAAAAATCTCTTTTCACACCTTCAAGTCTGTGTCTTTTCATGATTCCAAAGTGCAGTTGGTCAGTTTAATATTCAATAAGCTGGTTTTGCAATGTTCTTTGTTCTTCTGTCGTTTTGTACTTTGTTTGCGTGCGATGTCACACGCAATAGCCAAAGCTCCGCCTTTCAGGAACCGCACAAAGTTCTCACCCACCAGTGGACCCATGGCATACATCCCAGGCTCCTTCACGCTCTCATACGTGTACGGATCCACGTCAAATGGGTTCCTCCGACAGCTGATTGGCTCTTCCGAGTCCAAACCAAGTGGGCGACCGTGTTCTGGGAGGAATGACAGGTTGGGATGGGCACCAATCAAAACGAGCGCCATCGAGACTTGTAGCACTGTCTGTAGCCCTCCCTCATCCTCTAGCACACATTTGCCATCAGGTCTGAAGGCCACCACGCGGTGCTTTGGGTAGCTGAGGTAACCAGGGTAAGAGGTATACGGGTTGGTGTTCTCAGCAGGTGAAGTAAGAGCTTCGTTGGACAGATTAACCTTTGCATCACCCACTTTGTGTTGCTGTTGGCTCATCATTTGGTGCACTTTGTGGTACTCAGGGTAGAGGAGTTTGGGCAGTTGGTTGAAGATAAGCGCCGGATCGGTCACGGGTCGCCTAAAGGCGTGATATACAGGTGTGTTCAAGTGGTGAGCCGCGAGAACCGCATCTGCCGCCGTCAAGCCAGCACCGACCACAAGAATTGGCTCGGAGGCATGGTCCAAACGGCCTGAGGAAATGGCGGCCTCCAGCTCCCAGAAGCTGTGGCACACGAAGGAAAGGTTTTCGCCTTCCACGTCGAGACGGGCTGGGATGTCGTGGGTTCCTGTGGCGAGCACCACGTTCTCTGCATATACGCAGAAAGGGACTTCAATTACTTCCTTTCCATCAGCACCATTTGCGTTTCTCTGGAGGCCTTCGATCTTCCAAACGGAGCGGTCCGATTCAAGGGAAACCCGAGAGAGTGAGGTTACGGTGGTGCCGCAAGCAAAGCTCCTCTCCAGACCCATTTTAGTCACATAGTGCTGGTAGTAGGACGCAATCTCGGCTGGCGTGGCCCGGTCATTACGTAGATTTCTACGTGCACAAAACACAAATGTTAGATGATCAGTTTCATCATTTTGGTCATTTCAAACTATGTGTTATACTCGTGACGCCTCATTTATTCACACAAAAAGCAAAAATTATGACTTTAGTTGGGCTCAAAAACAAACATAGCAAGATTAAAAGCACCACAGTATATACACATTTTTAGCTGAATTGAATATACTATTCAGTTAGCAAAAGAGAAAACCCAATGTTAAGACTAACACAATGCAAGAATCTTATTTTCATATTTGTGCTTTCAAATCTATGCCAAGAATTTTTCTTGAAATCTGAGCTCATTATTCTCTATGCTGATTTCATTAAGTTTTAATTTTCATACTTTCGTTTATCTCTCATCCAGTCCTTCAACTTCAAACCAGGAAGTTCCATCCAGTTAGCCAAGCTGAGAGTCAACATTGAGCCCTCCATTGCCTGCCGGCATAAAGAACAATAAAGTCAAATCTTGATATGAAGCAGGCAAAGCACATGAATAACATCTGATCAAACTGGTACAAAAACTCAACAGAAGTTGCTTTCAGACATGCAGACAATGCAAACTTCTGTATTAGGGTGAACCTCATGAATATATTCAAGTCATATTTCACCCTATTTCTCATTACTGTAACCTGTCTGAACATTTTACTCGTGCTCAATGGTGATTCCATTTAGATTAATTAGTAATGCAGACATTTTAACTATATTACAGTAAAAAAATATATATAATTAACCAATATATTTTTAATGTAATCAGCAAACTTTAAATAAATCAATCAATCAATCAAATCAATCAAATTTTCTTTATTCAGTCATGATGTTATTATAGACACAACAATAATCTCCACTACAACAAAATAATAACATTCATTACTGAATAGGAGCATAAAGAAGACATAGTCTTATAAATTAATGCCCCTTTTTTCAATTATCTAAGCTTATACAAAACAGATGGCTCGCCATTTTTTTTTCTTCCGTTCCCCTTCCTTTCTATATATATATATATATATATACATACACACATATATATACATATATATACATACACATACATATTTCTTCAGTATTATTTCACATCTCAGCAATTAACAATT